GGAAGCTGCCAAGTCCAGAACTCAAACCATGGTCAGCCATGTGGGAGTCCAGTGCCTCAACCACCATGCCACCTGCTGGTCCCTGAGAAAGTTATTTTTTTAATAATTTATTTAGGGGTTGGCAGATGACATGATAGTTAAGGACACTGAACTCCCACATGGCCGACCACAGTTCGAGTCCTGGACCTAGCAGCTTGCTTTCCCAGTTTCCCTCTCTCTTTCTCTCTCTCGGTCTGTCCCTCTCTGGTCAAATTAAAATAAGTTTAAAAATAAAATAATATATCTAGTTGTGTTATTTCATTGTTTACAATTTAGTTAGTTCAATATTCTATTGATTTCCATACAAGAAAATATTACTATACAGAGGCAGTGTAGTTTAGAGTATGAGCTCTAGAACCCAACTCCCTAGGTGTAAAATCTGGCTTTGGTACTTACTAGCAGAGTTGTTTCCAGGGAGACTCAGCACATGAGTGTCTTTACCCAGGGTGTAAGGGTCCTTGGCTTCATGATAGAAAGATTTTTCTTTTTCTTTTAGGTTTTTGCCATAGGACACTTGCACTTGCCAGAGAGAAAGTGAGAGGAAAAATGAAATCACCCTTGGAGGGATGGCCACACCACAATCCTTTCTCCTCTATTTACCTTCTGGGATTTGGGGCACACACACACCCACACACACCCCATGTGATTTTCAAGCCACCAACTCTGGAACTTCAACCATGGTTGGACATGTGGGAGTCCAACCATCTTAACCACTATGCCACCTGCTGGTCCCGCAACAGAAAAAATTTAAGATCTGGCTTTTGAGAGAGTGAATGCATGTTTAAGGAACTTACACAGAGTGGACTACTAGATAGATGGAGCAGCCCTGTGAGAGGAGATGGGTAAACAGTTTCGTTCCTTGCTTCAAGAGGAATGGGAGAACTGTTACCCAAAATGAAAGATAGAAGGGCTACTTCATAGGCAGGGTAGCCCCAAACTTTGGTGGATGTCTAGCTTATATGGCTTGGCTTAATACCAGGCTAAGTAAGGGGAAGTTATTCATGACTTTTACTGAAAAAGGGCAGTGGTTTTCCTGAACCACTGTCTTTCCCATTTTCTAGCCTCATTACAGTAGTTTGGGTTATTGTCATGGTTATTGTAAACTGTCATGATGCAGGTGGGAGTGTCATCTAGTATGCCAGTGCAGTATAATGAGGACATTATGAGTTTGAAGGTTAGGCAGTGGTCGTTGCAGATGCCATATTGGTTCCCACTGGTTTAGACAAAGTCTCTCAGACACTTCTCTGCCAAGTTTTATTGTAGGTGAGGGAATGTCCTTGCCTCAGTCTTTTCCTGTTTCAGAGTGACCTTGAACAAGTTATTTAATCTGTGTTTGTTTCCATGTATAAAATGAGAATGATAATAGTAATCAGGGTTTTCCAGAGAAATAGAACCAGTAGTGAGTGTTTATATATGTGTGTATATATATATATATATATATATATGCAGGATATGATGTTGCAGTCTTAAGGCAGAATTTCTCCTTTCTCAGAGAAATCTCAGTTTTACTTGTTAACAAGGCCGATCGAATGAGGCCTACCCACATTATTGAGGATAATCTTGTTTAATCAACTGATTATTGATGTTAACCACACCTACAAAATACTTGCACAGTAACACCTAGATTAGTGTTTGATTATGTAACTGAGTATTCCAGCCTAGTCAAATTAACCCACAAAACTAACATCATAGCTACTATCAAATTCATAAAATTGTGATAATTAAATGAGTTCGTACATCTAAAACCACTTAGAATAGAGCCTAACGCGTAAGAAATACTTGCAAAGGCTAAGTAGGATCTTTACTGCATAACACCAGCCAACATTTATTAAATCCCTATAAAATGCAAAGTTCTGTGTGAAAACTGTGGGAGATTCCGTAATAGTCCCTAGAGAATTTCTTCTGGCATGTGTGTGTATGTGTTACCCTGAATTCCAGAGGAGTGGGAAAATGGAGGAGAAAGAATTAAGTGACCATGCCCCATTGGGAGGGTGCTTTCTCTCTCTCAAGCACATGCACACACATGCCCTCTAGTAATAATAAAAAAATTAGCATAAATAATGCAGAAGCTGGGACTGACAGGTTTCTTAGTGGTTAGGACACTGAACTCTCACATGGCTAACTGCAGTTCAAGTCCCAGACCTAGTAGCTTGCTTTATCACTTTCCCTCTCTGTCTCTGGTCAAATTTTTAAAAGATAATAATAATAAATAAAATTAAATAAATAGTCCTTTTTTTTTTTTTTGAGAGGTTTTTGCTATAGGGCGCATCCGCTCACCAGACAGACAGAGACAGACAGAAAGCGAGAAATCACCCCCCAGGGGGCATTGCCCTGGTGCAATCCCTCCTCTTCCATTCTCCTCTCGGGATCCTGGGCACGCACGCACACACGCCTGGCGTGAGTTTTAAGCCACCGGGTCCGGGATGCGAACTGTGGTCAACTATGTGGGAGTCCAGCGACATAGCCATTACGCTAACTGCTGGACCCCTAAATAGTCCTTTTAAAAAAAAAAAAAATGTAGGTGCTGCAACCAGCAGGTTTTGTGGTGGTTAAGGGCCCTGGATTCCCACATGGCTGATTGCAGTTCAAGTCCTGGACTTGGCGACTTGCTTTCTTGTTTATCCCTTTCTCTCCCTCTCTCCCTCCCTTCCTCCCTCTGTCTCTCTCTGGTCAAATTAACAATAACAGGGAACCAGCAGTTAGCGTAATGGCTATGTCACTGGACTCCCACGTAGTTGACCGCGGTTCACGTCCCAAACCCGGTGGCTTAAAACTCACGCCGGGCGCATGTGCGTGCGTGCCCAAGATCCCAAGAGGAGAACGGAGGAGAAGGGATTGCGGCGTGACCATCCCCCCGGGGGGTGATTTCTCTCTTTCTGTCTGTCTCTCTCTGTCTGTCTGGCGAGCGCACGCGCCCTATAGCGAAAACCTCTCCAAAAAAAAAAAAAAATTAACAATAATAAAAATAACAAATGGAATTAAATAAATAATTCTTATAAAAAAATGCAGGTGCTAAGGTCCAATCTGCTTTGCATACTACAGCCACAAGTTTTGTTTGTTGATAGTAATCAACACTGAAGAGACAGCCTGCCCCCATGGGGCTTACATTCTAATAGGATACCTATTGATGCCTCTTTCTGTTGTAAATCTAACCAATAATCTTACTAATTTTCATGCAGAAAGGGAAGGGGAAGTTTGGCTCAGAGACTGTGCACCAGGCCAAGTACAGCCAGAACACTGAATTAATAAAATAGAAATGTTTTTTGTGGCCTTTTAGATGCAGGGGCTTGAAGCCTAAGCTTTTCCATATTGACATCACTATCTTATTAGAAATTTTAATGTAGCCCTTATGTGGGGTTTCTTCATCAAGACTTAAGTCATTTCTGAAGAATGTACAAAATACTCCCAAGTAGCCTAAGGGAAATCAAGATTGTACTAGCACCTGGTTTTCAGCCACTAGGAAACTTGACCATTGAGGAGGTTGTCTCTGATCCCCTTGACATGGAGACTCATTAACAAAAAATGAATAAAAACTTGTCAATAAATCTGTAGAACATTTTACAGAGCACTTTGAGAGACAGGTAGAGCAAGGATTATTATCTCTGCTTTTCTGAGAAGGAAGCTGAGGCTCACGGTAGTAAAGTGAAAGTCCCAAGACTACATAGTAAATAGCAGGTTCTGATGTCTAATTACTCATGTAGTGTGTTCTCTCCTATGTTACTCGGCTGGCTGTGTTTCATTGAGTATAGATCTGGAGAGGAGCTGCTTCTCAACCCTGAAATTCTTTTCCTTAGCTCTTAAGTGAAAGCAGTCTTTACCTTTATTTCATCATACTCGAACACAACTTTTTTTAAATTAGGCAAGAGGGCATGTGTGCTCCCTGGGGAGAGAAAGAGGGAGAGAGAGGAGAGGAGAGGTATAGGAAGCACTCACCCTGGAGGATGGCTGTGCTGCAATCCCTTCTCCATTTCTCCCTCCTTTCGGGATTTTGGGCATGTATGCACACATGCCTGGCTGGCCTGGGATCATATGCTTTAAAGGAAGTGATGATCTTGATCTTCCTTGTTCTTCCTCCTATCCTTCTTTTGGTTTCTCTCATTTATAGCATTCTCCCTACTCTAGATTATATGGATGTTATTTGTGGACTTGTATTTGGCTACCAACTAGAACTTATAATCCACTACGGGAAGGCCAGCAGGTGGCCTGGTGGTCGAGGTGACTGGATCCCACATGGCCAACTACGTGTTTTGAGTCCTAGACCCAGCAACTTGAAAAGCACACCAGGCATGTGTGCATGTATGCTCCAAATCCCAGAAGAGAATGAAAGAGAAGGGATTGCAGTAGGGCCATCCCACCTGGAGGATGCCTTCTTGCTTCTCTCTCTCTCTCTCTCTCTCTCTCTCTCATAAGCACATGTGCCCTGTGGCAAATTAAAAAAAAAAAAAAAAGAAGAAGGAAAAGAAGAAAGAAAGAAAAATCTACTACAGGAATTCTTAACTTATTCAGGACTCCTAGTTTCTTTTTAGAAACTGTCCCCACCCCACCCCAGAAAAATGTACATAAAATTTTTGTATTACTTTAGGAGATTCATGGACTCTAGAATAAGACCTCTTTTTCTAGGAGTCAACAAGTGGTATAGGGTTGAGGTGCTGGACTCTCATGTGGCCAACCATGGTTCAGATCCTGAACTTGAAACTTGCTTTCTCATTTTCTCTGTCTCTGATGAGTATGAAAATAAATAAGAAAAAGAAGGAATAAAATTAAATAATTCTTTAAAAAAAAAAAAAGAACTCTTTTTCTGGATTGTGTGTTTCTTCTGAGCAATATCTAAGTTTCATTTATCTTTGTGTCTATGGCAGAGCCTACCACATGTATAGTAGATACTCAGTAAGAAGTTTCTGAATTGATGAATTAAGATGAAAAATGAGAATCTCAACACAAATTTTTCTTTGTTTCTTTAGGCTTCCATCTGAGTGGAACAGTCACTGAGCCAGCTACTGCCTCTGAACCAGCAGTAACATACAAAGTTGCAATCAGTTTTGATCGATGCAAAATCACTTCAGTGACATGTGGCTGTGGGAACAAGGACATATTCTACTGTGCTCATGTGGTAGCACTCTCACTCTACAGGATCCGTAAACCAGACCAAGTCAAATTGCGT